GGAGGAGGGACTCGGGGCCCGGGGCTCCTGGGTTTTTAGGGAGAGGGGGCTGGGGCACCTGAGACCTCTGGGTCTGAGGGAGGGAGGGGCTGGGGGCCCTGGACCTCTGGTCTGAGGGAGGAGGGGTTGGACCTGGACTCCCGGGTCTGATGGAAAGACTCCCTGGTCTGGCCCCTCATCCCCCAGGGCTCGTTCCCTGCGAGTTACCGGTGGCGCGGGGACCCCCAGGACGGGGTGCAGTTCCCCCTGGACTACAACTACTCGGCCTTCCTCCTGGTGGACGATGGCACCCACGGCCGCCTGGGCGGCGAGAACCGCTTCCGCCTGCGCTTCGAGTCCTACATCGCCCAGCAGAAGACGGGCGTGGGAGGTGCGTGGCATCTCCGCTGGTGGCCCAGGTCCCGGCTCGGAGCCCAGCGGTCTGATCTGGTCAGGGTTTGGGGTTTGGGGCGAGGAGGTTTCTATGGTCAAGGCCTTCCCGGCATTTGCTGTATTTTAAAAAAACCTTTATCTGAAATGGGAAATGCACAGGAGTGGACAGCTCACCGAATTTTTTTAAAAAATATATTTTATTGATTTTTTACAGAGAGGAAGGGAGAGGGATAGAGAGTTAGAAACATCGATGAGAGAGAAACATTGATCAGCTGCCTCCTGCTGGGTATGTGCCCGCAACCAAGGTACATGCCGTTGACTGGAATTGAACCTGGGACCCTTCAGTCCGCAGGCCGACGCTCTATCCACTGAGCCAAACTGGTTAGGGCTCTTTTTTTTTTTTAAATATATTTTTTAATTCATTTCAGAGAGGAAGGGAGCGGAAGAGAGAGATAGAAACATCAATGATGAGGGAGAATCATTGATTGGCTGCCTCCTGCACGTTGGACCGAGCCAGCAACCCACGCATGTGCCCTTGACTGGAATCGAACCTGGGACCCTTCAGTCTACAGGCGGATGCTCTATCCACTGAGCCAAACCGGCCAGGGCCCGACATCATTTCTGTGGGCTTCATCCGTATCATTGCCTGAGTTGTAGTTTGTAAATAACCCACGAGTAAAAGAAAAACAAAACAAAACACGTTTTGAATATACGACATACCGATGCTTTTGAGATGCAGCTAATGCAGTACTTAGAGGAAAATGTGTAGATTTAGTGCATAATGTCCAAAAGGAGATGAAAGGCTGAAAGTGGTTGATTTAAGCCTCCAATTTGAAAAACTTGAGAGCCCTGGCTGGTGTGGCTCAGTTGGTTAGGCACCAAAAGATTTGATTCCGGTCAGGGCACTTGTCTGGGTTTCAAGCTCCTCTCTGGTAGGGGTGTGCAGGAGGCAGCCGATCGGTGTTCTGCTCTCACATCAATGTTTCTCTCTCTCTCCCCATCTCCCTTCCTCTCTCTCTAAAAATGAATAAAAATAGCCCTAGCCAGTTTGGCTCAGTGGATAGAGCGTCGGCCTGTGGACTGAAAGGTCCTGGGTTCGATTCCAGTCAAGGGCACATGCCTGGGGTTGCGGGCTCGATCCCCAGTGGGAGGCGTGCAGGAGGCAACCGATCAATGATTCTTTCTCATCATTGATGTTTCTATCTCTCTCTGCCTCTCCCTTCTCCTCTGAAATCAATAAAAATATATTTAAAAAATAAATAAATAAAAAGCAATAAAAATAAAAAAAGAACCCTAGAAACAAAACAACAAATCAAATCTAGGGAATGTAGAAGCAAGAAAATAAAACAGAAAAGGCAGAAATGGATGAACTAGGTACATGTATAGCGAAGAATATCAACTAAAACAAAAGTGGGTTTTTTTTGCAAAAATTTCTGTTCAATTTTTAAACTTTACTTCGCTTTCTGGATACATTAATCCTATTTTTTTTTAATGTTCATACAGTAAAACTTGTTTTTCGGGGTGTGCAGCTCTATGGTTATAGATTCATGCGACCATTTCCACAATCAGGACACAGTATGGGCCTTTTACCTTGAAGGCATCCATTTCTTTTGTACCCCAGCCCCTAGCAACCACTGATCTCTTCACCATCACTCTCATCTTCTCTTTTCCAGAAGGCCATATAAATGGAATAATAAAATGCATAACCTTTTGGAACTGGCTTTTCATGCAACATAATATATTATGGCAGTTTTAACGTTCACCCTTTGGAACAAATCAGCTCATACCAATGTATATAAAGAAACAGTTAATTATCTTCCTTACCGAGCTCCAACCCCTCTATTGGGGTAATTAGTCTTACACAATTTAGACTTTATCCCTTTATACCTTTATCTATGCTTATAAAATTCTATGCAATTATATTTCCAGCTATATGGTGTTTCTTTCTTATGTTATACATATTACACTTTCTTAGGTCCGAACTTCTTTTTTTGGGGGAAGTGGGGGGAGGGTCCCAACTTCTTCACCTTGCTCCCACTTCTAATAAATAGTTGATGATATTCCTTAGTTATGGGTGTATCATCTGTTGTTTGTGTTTCTGAGTTGATGGATACGTAATGCTTTACCAGTGCTTGGCACTATAAGGAATGCTGAATAAATATCTTTGTGTGGACATGCAGAATTACATTACAGGTGTTGTAAATTCGATACAGTAGATTCCCCGAGTGATATTGCTGTGGGTGTATATTAATAGGTAAACTAGATAATTTTTCTAAAAACTTGTAGCAATTTTCACTCCCATTGAGAATGTGTGAGAATGTCCTTTTCCATTCAGTCTCAACCAGCTCTGGATACTCTTGCTTTAATTATTTTATTTTTTTCCAATTTGATGGGTAAAAAGTAACATCTCATTTTTAATTTGATTTTTTTAAATTAATCTAATAATATTCAGAGATGTAAACATATTTTGTTGGCCAATCAGATTTCCTCAGTTATGAATTGCCTATTCATATTCTGTGTACATTTTGTTGTTGTTGTTGCCAATCCTCATCCAAGGATATTTTTCCCTTTAATTTTTAGAGAGAGTGGAAGGAAGGGAGAGAAGAGAGAGAGAGAGAGAGAGAGAGAGAGAGAGAGAGAGAGAAACATCAATGTGAGAGAGACACATCTATTGGTTGCCTCCTGCATGCACTCCTACCTGATTGAACCTGCAACCCAGGTACGTGCCCTTAACCAGGAATTGAACCTGTGACCCTTTGGTGCACAGGCTGATGCTCTAACCAATGAGCAACACCAGCCAGCATATTTTAAAATTGGATTCTTTCTTTCTTGTCTTTTTATAGGCTTTTTTTGTATCCTGTCAATAATAACCCTTTGAATATTAGATGTAAACTTTAAAAAAATATTTGTTTTTTATTTATTTCAGAGAGGAAAGGAGAGGGAGAGAGAGAGAGAAACATCAGTGATGAGAGAGAATCATTGATTGGCTGCCTCCTGCATGCTCCCTACTGGGGATCCAGCCTGCAACTCAGTATGTGCGGTGACCAGGAACTGAACCATGACCTCCTTGTTCATAGGGCTCAAAAATTTCTTAACTCTGACATTTATTCTTCCATGTGAATTTTAAAATTATCGTGTTCCATTAAAAAAAAAACAAAAAACAAAAAGGATCCTGGCTGGTGTGGCTCAGCGGTTGAGCATTGACCCAGGAACCAAGAGGTCATCGGTTCGATTTCCAGTCAGGGCACATGCCCAGGTTACAGGCTTGATCCCCAGTGGGGGTCGTGCAGGAGGCAGCCAATCGATAATTTCCTCTCTCATTGATGTTTCTATCTCTCTATCCCTCTCACTTCCTCTCTCTCTAAAAATCAATAAAAAATATATTAAAGAATAAAATAAAGGAAAACACTTCCAAATTCCTCCTACCCTCCTTCTTTCCCCAAACTGCATTTAATTCCTTTGTTACTCTATGACAGGTTAACATGGCACTAGTTTTTCCATTTATTCAGGCCTTGTCCTTACATAATTTTTTGTCAATTTCTTCATAAAGGTCTAGTATTTTTCTGGATGAATTAATTCCCAGGTATTCTATACTTTTAAAAAAATCAAAACATGAATAAGAGACATGTTTTGAGAAAAGTTTTTTTTTATTTTTTTTTTAAATATATTTTATTGATTTTTTACAGAGAGGAAGGGAGAGGGATAGAGAGTTAGAATCACCGATGAGAGAGAAACATCGATCAGCTGCCTCCTGCACATCTCCTACTGGGGATGTGCCCGCAACCAAGGTACATGCCCTTGACCGGAATCGAACCTGGGACCTTTCAGTCCACAGGCCAACGCTCTATCCACTGAGCCAAACCGGTTTCGGCTGAGAAAAGTTTTTGATTTTTATTTATTTTTCTCATATCAATTCTCTTACCAAATTCTCTTATTAATATTTACTTATTTTGAAGGGAGTCTCTACAACTGTCTGAGACTATAAATCATATTTTCCTCCAAATAAATTCCTTGTCTCTTCCAGCTTAAAAAAAAACAAATGATTTTCATTATTTTATTCTTTGACACCATTATGCCCGGATGAGTGTGAATAATAATAATGCGGCCTCATTTCTTACTTTAATGGGAACAGATCTTGTGTGACTTTAATATGTGGCTTTGGTAGATATCTTTATGATGTTTGGATAGTCCTTTCTTTTCCTTATTTCCTTCATTTCCTGTTTGGACCTTCATCTTCTCCTGGCTCCTGATCTTCAGCAACCACAGAATTGCCGCTGACAAACACCGGCGTCGCTCAGGAAGCCAGGAGTCCGGGCCCCAGCCCCTCCTTCCTTGGGGAGTTGAGCATTACTGTCTTCCAAACCTGGCCCCTCCCAAGGTGCTCAAAGACAGGACAATTCCCATGAGCCTCAGGGACAGAGGACTGGGCAGAAGCCAACCTTTGCCGCAGGGACTCCTGGCAAATGTGGTCCACCGTCCCTGGCAAAGGCGGATGGCGGTGACCACCTGGCTCTCTGCTCTCCGCAGGGACTGGCATTGACATCCCTGTCCTCCTCCTCCTGATTGATGGGAATGAGAAGATGTTGAAGGTACAGTCAAGGGCCCAGACGCCTGGGTGTAAGGGGCTGGGGACGCGGGCCCTGGGTTTCAGGGGAGGAGGGAGCGGGGGACCGGTACTTCAGGTGGGGTGAATCCCTTCATCCCTTCCTTCCCTGACCTAACTCCCCCCTTTATTTTGTAGCGGATAGAGAACGCCACCCAGGCCCAGCTCCCCTGCCTCCTGGTGGCCGGGTCCGGGGGCGCTGCGGACTGCCTGGCGGAGATCCTGGAAGACACTCTGGCTCCAGGGAGTGGAGGGGGCAGGCGAGGGGATGCCCGAGATCGGATTAGGCGTTTCTTCCCCAAAGGGGACCCCGAAGTCCTGCAGGCCCAGGTATGACATTGAGGGTCCGGCTCTGGATCCTGAGATGGAAGGGAGCTGGGGGCCTGAGCTCCTGGGACTGGAGGGAAGAGGGTGCTTGCTGAGGGCGTGGAGTCCTGGATCCAAGGGAAGAGGGTGGTAGGGACCCAGACTCGTGGATTTGAGGGAGGAGAGGCCTGGGGGCCTGGACCCCCGAGTTCTGGGAGTAGAGGGAGCTGGGCGCCTGGAATACCAGGTCCGGAGGCCCCCTGTGTCTCTGTGGCCGGGGCCCCGGTGGAGCGGGCTGGCGATGCGGAATTTGGTGTTCTGCAGGTGGAGCGGATCATGACCCGGAAGGAGCTGCTGACAGTCTATTCCTCTGAGGACGGCCCTGAGGAATTCGAGACCATTGTTTTGAGGGCTCTTGTCAAGGGTAAGACTTGAACCCCCAAATTCCTCCATTCTCTCTGCTCAACTTTGGACAGTTTTCCTGGCCTGGGTGCTTATTCATTCCCTCTCCGAATAAGGCTGTGCCTCTCTTCACCTCTTTCTTTGT